TCGAAATTTTGTCGCACCTTTGGGTCACTCTTGTCCCAATTTTGTCCCAAATATTTGGCCCAAATTTGTCGCAACTTCGCAACAAGCTTTGCTTCATTTTTTGTCACTCCTCGCGTGGCCCATCGTTTCCCAGCGGAGTACCTCTCTTCGACTCATCTCAAAGTGCCAGGCCCACAATACGAAAATAAAAAAAAAAGCCAATCTTCTATAAGCTGAAACATAACCCAGTGAAGGCTCACTAAGTCCGTTTTTTTTTTTTTTTCCTCCTGTCCGTTCCGCCCACTTGAGTAGGAACATCGCAGGTGAACACACCATCTTCAAAGGAACGTTCATTTTGTACTTTTCCTTTTTTTGTTTTTTTGTGATTTTTTTGTGATTTTTTTTTTTCCCCATTGTGGTGAGCAATAAAACTGAAAGAAGGGAAAACCTCCTTTTTTGTGAACGCAGCGTTAAAAAAAAAAAAAAGGGCCACGCCTACTGCGCAGAGTTCACTTGGTTAGAGCGAAGGTACTCTCTGTGGAAGAGGAGGTTGAGACGCATCCGATCCATTGGCCATTGGAACTGGTTCGGCCTTGGTAAAGACCGGCGGTGCTGCAACTTCACGCGAGACACCTGTGGCAAAGTAGCGAAGTGGTCAAGTGGTCAAGTGGCCAAGGAGAAACCGATCCCCCTCCTCCAAAATGAATGAGTAGAAATGTCAACATTCCACAACAATAAGCTGGCTCTGAGTTCCCAGCATAACAGACCCACGCCACTGAACTTAGGTAACGCTCGTGTGTGAAGGGGTGAGAGAGTGGGGGCGTTCCTGGTTAGGAAATTCTCCCTCTACGGAGAGATGCCACCGCAGAGATGCCACCGCAGAGACGCCACCGGAGAGACGCCACCGGAGGGAGATGGCCCGCTCCCCCCCTGAGAAACGTGCACGTTCACACCTACCCCTCTCTCAGGCGCGAACAATGACAGCCACAGCAGGAAGCGGAAGCTGCTACGATCCTTTAGGAGCTCGAGGAACGATACGTGCCCAGACTGCAAGGAGAAGGGAATAGTCATATGTGATAATAGTGAGGGGACACAAATATGTAACGGCTGTGGACTGGTGTTGGAGAGTCGCATACTCTCGGAGGAACAAGAGTGGAGAAATTTTAACAGCGATGGACAAATGAAGTCAAATGATCGTAATAGGGTAGGAGAGGTGAGTGACATATGGTTTGAAAATAATTTAACAAGCACGACTTTTATTAAGTCAAGCAAGAAGCTACAACACCTGAACATGATGACCCAGATTAATAAAAGTGACCAGACGTTGCTGGCCGCCTTCAACATACTGAAATTGATATGCGAAACGTTCTTCCTGCGTAGTAATGTGATTGAGCGGGCGAAGGAGATAACGAAGGAACTTCAGGTACGGGTGCACAAACGCATCGCGCGCAATGCAGCTCGGTGGACAAATGCAACGCGCGAAGGGCATCTCAGTCCATAAACGCATCGCGCGCAATGCAGCGCGGTGGACAAATGCAACGCGCGAAGGGCAGATCGGTGGAGAGAATGGAGGATGCTGTGTAGCAGAGTAGGCTTGATCACCGCTTCACCCGTGCACACTTTCCTGACTTTGTGTTTGCCCCCCTTTTTCACAGGACATGGAACAGCTGAAGAACCGCATAAACAATTTGAACATGCTAGCAGTGGTTTACTTGGCATGTAGAGAAGCGGGACACATAAAGAGCATAAAGGAGCTGATCACGTTTGACAGATCATTCAAAGAAAAGGATCTAGGAAAGACAATAAATAAATTAAAAAAGATTTTACCTTCAAGAGCTTTTGTTTATAATGAAAATATTTCTCACTTAATATTTACATTATCGAATCGGCTACAATTATCCATTGATGTGATTGAGTCCATTGAATATGTGGTGAAGAAAGCTACAACGTTAATTACAACGTCACATCGGTTGAACTCTCTTTGTGGTGGATCCATTCACCTCATTGTTGAGCTAAACACAAGTGATGAGAAAAATTTGAAACTCCCGAACCTTGCGCAAATTGCTGCTGTGTGTGGAGTTACCACGAATACGTTGAAGACAACGTTTAAGGAATTGTTGAGCGCTGCTGATTATATTTTGCCTGCGTACTACTTGGTGGACAAGAGCTCCAAGCTGGCTACCCTTCGGCAAAAGTACCTGAGCGACGACCGGCGCAGGAAGAAATAAGTGACTTGCGGCGTGGCGCGTTTGATGAAGTGGAACGACAGGTGGGGGGGGGAAGGAATTTTTTTTTTTTTTTTTTTTTTTTTTTTTACAAACATGCGCACTTTGAGGAGTCTCTCAACCATTTGCTTTAATTTAACCGTTCGAATTAACAGGGGTGAAAAAAAAAAAAATTAAAAAAAAAAAATAATAATAAAATAAACAAAATAAGATGTCCAGCGTACAGAAAAAATTGGGGGAGGCTTTAATGTAGAGATGGGGTCAACTTGTCTGGCCGACTTGGGCTGCCTCGCCTGGGCCGTCAAAACATACACACGTGTTGTATGCACGCGTTGCGCGTGTGCGCGGGGACCTCTCTAGTAGGGACGATCACGTGGCGTGTGATGAGCGCAGGAGGGGGGGGTGGTCAGTTCACCCAGTGTAAGACGACTTCACCTCGGCAGCGGCTCGTTGCTCTTCCTCCATGAGAGTACCCACCCCTTAATGACCTGCACGTTGCTCTCGTACTGCTGCATGTCATTATTCTCGAGCTCCTCAAAAATGGACGAGTCTTCATAGTAGTTGAGTATGTCCTCTTTTATGACTTGAAATATTTCGCACTCGATATTATTTTTTATTTTCTCCTCGGAGTAATTTCTTTTTTCTAGTCGTTCATATAACTTGTTGGTTGAAATGGTTAATAAAAAAATGTGATCAATGAGTTCCTTTTGTTCAGGGAACTCTACATCGTGGAAGTCAATTATGTATCCTCCATTTTCTAACTTGAGTTGTTCTAATTTTTCATTTACCATCTCGTTACTGTAGATGCTTGCATCTAGCTGGTCATCAAATTCTTGGTAGAGTCTTTCCTCTTTGATCACCGTAGATAGGTTCAGGTGTTTCATTTGGTTATGTGGCGACTGTGGTTGTGGGTTCTTGTTCAATTCTTTGTTAATTATTTCCACTAGCTCCTCACACAGGGTCGTCTTGCCCACTCCGGGCACGCCCGTAACGATGATGTTCGGCAGGCTCCTCATCGGTCCGATTTAGCGCATATTGAAGTGGTGGCATATGCGCGGCTGTTACGCGATGTACTCTCTTACGCATAACCTACCTAGCGCTCTTCCTTCCGCCGCGGCGTCAATTGTTGTCGAGCGAGCTATAATTATTTTGCGCCCGCCTTCGATCTTCCAAAACGGGTTGACATAATATAAAACGTTGAACCATGCAAGAGCTTGGTGGCAAAAAAAAAAAAAAAAAAAAAAAAAAAAAAAAATATATATATATATATATATACATGTAAACGTTCCCACAAATGCACTGCGGCTAACCCCGTGTTAGTTGCCCTGCTTTAAAATTTAAAAAAAGAAAGTTAAGAAAAAAACAGAAAAGAACGACATAACCCCACAATGTGGTACGGATGAACTGCATGCGCACGTTTGCTCAGTTTTGCCCCCCCCCTCTTTTGCGCATGTGGACGTTTTGTCGACGCCGAACAGTTTGTACACATGTTTTTTTAAAAAAAAAAAAAAAAAAAAAAAAAAAAAAGTCAACATGTTGCATATCGACATGTTAGGATCTTGACACCGCGCGGCAGGTTCGCTAAGCAACGGTGCACAGGGGGCCTCCCCGTTTCGTTTGAAGTTGGAGTCGAGTGCAAGAATGCATGTTTAAGCATTTGGGAGACTGCAACGAGATGGCGACCATTTTGTGCACTTCACCCATCGGGGAGGGGAAGAAAGACCCATTTGCTTCTCCTTCAAAATGGGATGTCACCGTGCGTAGATGCACGTGGTCGATGGTTGGTGCTGGACGGATGATCTTCCTCTCTCCCTGCCAAGTGACCCGTTCACATCTGTAGCGGGGCGCACGCGTCATTCATTTTTAACTGGTCCTTCAGGCTACTAATTTGTTTCTCCTTTTGGCTAATGATGGTGGATGACAGCTCGAAGAATTCCTGCGCAGGGGAAGCAAGCGGTGGGGACGCAAGCGGTGAAGATGGTTACACATACATGACTACTCCCGGTGGAGCGTCAGCCACGAGACCACCGAGACGAAATTACCTGCAGCTCCTCCTTCTCCTGCAGGAGCACCTTGTTCGTGTAAAACAGGAAAAGGAAATTTTTCGTCTTTTCGTCCCTTATCTGGAGTGGCAGCTCCTTTAGCAAATCGTTCGTCTGCAGAATGTTCCGTTGCAGTTCCTCGTCCATTTTGCTTTTCTGCGGGGCGGCGACATGGTTTGAGGGGGGAAGCCGTGTTCGTAATGCACACGGTCGCCGCGATGGCCACGATAGTCACGATCGCCATGAGCGCTCCTCCTGGGCCGATCCAACAAATGATTACCTTCTGGTACAGCCCGCGGACATCCTCCTCGGAAAATGTGCTCGTTCCAACTTCCTTGTTCGTGATGAGTCTCCTCTCGACACTTAGAATGACTGACTTTATCTTTTTCCTCTCGTCCAACACCTTCGTGGGGAGGGGCAAAAAAAAAAAAAAAAGGGAATATGGGCGGGGAGTTAAGTTGGTCAGCGAGACACTTGAACGCAGCCCCGCCAAGAACATGAACCCCCATTTTACTTTGGTGAGTTCCTTTTTCCACTTGTCGAGCACATGGTCGTTTTCTTTATCCTCCGTGCTTTCCTGGTAAGAGGGGTGGTGTAAAGTGGCGTAGCGTCCGGTGTGGAGGTTTGATCAGAATGTGGTAGGAGGGTGATTGCTAGTCCGCTCACATTGCCTGAACACACATGTGCGTCCATGACGCTGCAACCACTCGAGCTAAACCTTGAGCTTCTCGTATTTCTTTCGAAGGTCGTCTAGCTTCTTCTTTATTTGTACGTGGTTGGCGTCGTTGCTGTGTATCCTGGCCTTGAAGCCATCGATCTGGCGTTTGTACTCCTCATTGAGGACAAGTAGGTTTTGCAACACGTGCATGCACTCTTGTATTTTTTCATGGAATTTTTTGTTGTCCTCGAATAGCTTTTCGTTGACGGCTCTCAGGTGGGTTAGCTCTTGTTGGTACTTGGCGACCTCCACCGCGTCGGTCGCGCCCGTCACGTCGGTCACATTGTCCGTCACGTTTGTCGCCTCTACCGCGCCCGTCGCGTGCTCCACCTCGCTTGTGGCGTCGTTGGGATCGCCCATGCGTAGGCGCTGGTTCTCGCGCTTCAACGCAGCAATGATATTAAGGAGGTCGTCCCGGGAGCAGTTTCTCTCGTACTCTTTGAGCTGGTCATAGTATTCGAAGTTGGTGGAGGTGGAGCTCATGTAATCATTTATCTTGCCCTTCTCATGTAGTTGTTCCTTTAAGAATTCAATTTCTGTTTTGAGTTTTTCAATCACATCGATATACATGGTCAGGTGTTGTTTGACCACCACCACGTTAGATGTAACCATATTTTTTATATTCTTAGCTCTGTTAGCATACTTGAGGGTGTTATGTGTATCTTCATAAGACAGATGCGAAGGACTTATATTTGCAATCATAACCGTTTTACAATTTCCACCAAGAGAGTCTTTTAGTAATCGCGTGAGTTTGCTATCCCTGAATGGTATGAAATTAGATTTACTTGTTCCTTTGCTTCTAGAGACAAGAGCATTAATAACATTTCCTAGGGCTAGAAGTGATCTGTTTATATTAGCTCCTTCTAACAGTCTCATTCCTTTATTGTTTGTTTGGCTAGCTCTTTCACTTCCTGCTAAATCAATAACACATAACTTTCCCCTTTTAGTTTGTTGATAAATGCCTTGTCCCTTTTCTGTTTCTTCTACGATTACTTGTAGAACTCCATGACTTCTCGAACTTGTTTTGTTTGCATCTGTGGGTTCTTGGGTTCTATTTTTATTTCCTGTATGTATTAATTCCATAATTTCTTCCACAGATGTAGTACAGACTTCGAAGATGTTAGAGACAGTAACTCCTTTAATAGGATCTTCTCTAACATCTAAGTATTCATCTGATGGGTTCAGCAAATCACATATATTTTCATTATAAATTTCCACAAAGGAACACTTGACTTTGTATTCATTCATTACTTCCATCTGTTTGATTCTATTAAATAGGTCTCTCAAAATCATATTCATAATTCCGGGTTCATTTTTGTGTCCTATAATTGTATGTGTTTTTCCTGCCCCTGTAGCTCCATAAGCAAAGACAGTAGAGTTATACCCTGCAATCACTGCATCTATTAAACACTTGACACTGTTCATGTATACATCCTCTTGTGAGCTAGCTTCATCAAACACATAATCGAACACATACTTTTTTTCTCGGCTTCTATTTTGCCTCAATACATTATCTGAGTTATCGGAAGGGTCTAGAAGGACTATCATTTTATTATCCATTATTCTTATTACATTTTTTGCACCTTCATTTTTTTCGCTAGCACTCATTGGTCTGCATCTAATAACCACATTCATGTTATATGTTAGGTCCTTTTCTGTGGAAGCACCTTTTTCATTTTTATTTGTTTGTCTTGTGCATGTGGAGATGGCTTGGTGTGTTGGGGACCCACCATTCTGGTGAGGTGTGTTGGAAGCTGTTCCTTGGTTTGAAGACGTCACTGACGAAGTGGTGGTAGTATTAAGTGAGGAGGTGGGAGTTGTGCTAGCTTTTGCTCCCTCTGGTTTGACCCCACTAGCACTTCCACACCCTTCGCTGTTCCGCTTCATCATCTTTGGTGTCTTCGTAGTCTCACTTGTTGCTTTACTTTTTATTTTTACAAATTTGGGTGCACTCACAACGGCTTTGTTTGATGTACCCCTCGTCACATTTCTAGGCGACTTGGCTTTAGGCATGGCGTTTGGCCCTTTGCTGCAGTCCATTTTGCTACACTCCACTTTGGCTCCTTCCCCTCGGGGTGGTGCCTTGCCACTCGCGCCCTCCTGCTGCTCCTCCTCCTTCGCAAACGCATTACTTTTCAGGTTGTTGGCTTTGCCGAGGTTGAGGTTGGTGAGTTTTGTTCTGGGGGAGGCCGCACTTGAGGGGATCACTACGGGGGAAGCCACACCTGGGGGGATCACTCCCCCCTTCACTGCAGGCAGCTGGTACGAGGCGGTGGCGTCCAAGTTTATATGCCTCGAGTGAAGAACCGTGTAGTCCATGGTGGGAAAGAACTCGCTGGGTGAATTCCATTTCTCCATGTCTAGCGTGGAGTACGCCGCCCCGTCGGCCTCGAACCCAGCAGTGTCCATGAGGGTAGAACCCACCGTTGTAGAGCCCATGCTGGCCCTGCTCAGATGCATCAAATTATTCTCAATGTCGCAGAAGCTCCTTTTCATTTGTTCCCACTGAGTGGAGGAAATGCCATTGGAGTCGTTCTTTGTTAATTGTAGAGGACTGATCTCACTCATGGAGTATTTCTTCCCCTCCTGTTCCACCTCGTCCATTGTGATGTCATGTTGCATCTGCTTCATTGCGTTGTCTTGCCGCATCTGGTTCATTGCGTTTTCTTGCCCCCTCTCGTCAGCGGAGTTAGTGTGGTTCCTCCAATCGTCACAATCGTCCGTATAAATACTTGCGACACTATACGCTTCTTTCCCCTCTGGTGCTTCATGTGTGTTTTTGTGTTGTCCCTCCTTTGGTGTGGTTGTGGTAAGAGGAAGCTCTTCATAGAACCCACTGAGCGATTCTAAATTTTTAGTAGATGCAAGTTCTGAATACATTTTGGACAGGTTCTGTTGGAAGAGTGTATCACTGGTGGATGATATGGACTTCATGGAGTGGTTGAATTGTCTTATGTTTCGCATCAGTTCGTTCACTGCGTTCATTTTTGCATCGCTCGTTGAGGATTCCATTGTGTGTTGATTAGAGCTGTCCTTAATGATATCCTTGTCGCTCCCCTGAACCCTGTGTTTCCCCTGGCCCTTATAAACGGGGGACAGCATCCTTTCGTCGTAGCACTGCGGGGAGCCCTGTCCCCCCTCGGGGCCATTCACAAAAGACTGTGCACCCATTCCACCTACGCTGCTGATGCATATTTTAACCACTTCATTTTTTTTCTCTTCCCCGTGGGGGGGTCCTCGGTCAAGGGTAGGATCGGGGCAATTGTCCACGTCGGGAGCTACTACGTTTTGTGACACGGCGAGGTTGTATTGAGTGTTAGGACTGCACGCGATAGGGTCGGCACTCCTTTCCTCTGCCCCCTCGTAACACTCCCTTGCGGACCCATCCGATGAGGACAGGTAGCCACCCGCCAGTTCCTCCTTGTCGTTCTCATTTTCCGTCGTGCGGTTAGATATGCACACGTCCTCGTGTGTCCCCTTCAACGAGGAAGGAAAGAAAATATTTTTTGTTGTGTTACTCGTTTCGCCTATTTCTGCCTGAACCCATTCGTCCTGATCCATAGAATCGGATCTCTTTCCATGTTCATTGGTATTCATTTTGTTATTCATTTTGTTATTCATTTTGTTATTCATTTATTTATTTTTTTCTCTTTTCTTGAGCTTACAAATGGGGTCATGCTGGGTGGTGAGAGGGAATTGACATATGATTGGAGAATCGAGAGAAGGAGAGTGGGAGCAACAGGCACAGGAGGCCTTTTTCTGCAAGGCAATTATTTGTGTATCTTTTTTTTTTTGTTTTGTTGATTCTACTTCTGAATCTCATGTGGGTTCCACCACAAGGTACACATTGCTCCCTTCGCGAGCGTTCAAGGCGGAAAGAAAAAGAAGAAAAAAAAAAAACACGCGTCTAATTGTAAAAAGCATGAACAGGGCTAAAATAAACCCGCATGGAAGATGAGTGCCAACTCTCCCCTCTTGTTTCCTGCCCCAAATATTTTAAAAATAAATTTTTTCCGTTGAGGAAAAATAGGCCTTTGCGGGTTAGAGACGGCATTTCCTCATTTGGCCAGAACCCCCCACCCCGTGGAGAATTCAAAGGTGGGGCTCTAGCACTTACCTCTGCTGCTGCGTTGAGGGGGGGGAGAGGGAGAAGGAGGCACCTTGTCTAAAGATGGTCGTTATAAACGCCTGTACTTGGTAGGGAGCGACTTTCAAATGGAAGAGAAAGGGGACGCGAAATGAGAATCGCGCGAGGACGTAGAGATATGCACATGAATGGGTGTGTGAGTAACACACGGGTAGGTGAGAACATAACTTCTCCTTTTTCATATGCTTTTAATATACCCTTGCAAATTTCGTGCATGGATGATTTGAAAAGGTGGGAGAGTGTCATTTGGTACCGTGCACAGATTTGACGCGTTCCTTTTTCTCTTTTCATTCGTCTTTCTTTCTTTCTT